TCCCCCTCCCCCGCTGGGCCCGGCTCCCGTCAAGACGGTGCGGCGCTTCCGGCTCATCCCCATACAGACGTTTGAGGTACAACCCACAACAACCACAACAACCACAACAACCACCACCACAACAACAATCGGCGTTCGCCACAAAGGGGCGGCGATGACACCACGGCGCCTGTGCCAGGCTAGGTGCATAAGGAAGTCACGTGACCAGGTGCCTTGGGTTGACTGCTGTGCCAGGCTAGGTGCATAAGGAAGTCACGTGACCAGGTGCCGTGGGTTGACTGCTGTGCCACGCTAGGTGCAGGAGGTCACGGGACAGACCCAGGTGCCATGGGTTGACTGCTGTGCCAGGCTAGGTGCAGGAGGTTATGGGACAGACCCAGGTACCATGAGTTGACTGCTGTGCCAGGCTAGGTGCACAAGCAGGTCACTGGACAGAGCCAGGTGCTATGGGTGCCATGGATTGACTGACCGAGATGACCGGCAAGTGCACCACGTGTGCTGCTCACTCAGAAAGACAAAGGTCCCCCGCGTAGCCTGTAACAGACTGTAGGGGCAAGTGCTGTTAGCGAGTAGCACCTGTGAAGGCCGGCACGGCACACGAGGGGGTGGGTGGCCAGCACCACGCCCGGCCGCCTTTGTCTCCCCAGTGGCGATGTTTACTACGCACCGCACCAGGTACCCATTTGAGGCTGGCTCGACCTAGGGGAGGCCCAGGACCGGTTCAGATAATTGCCGCTCGTGTTGGGGGAATCGAACTCGGGTCACCATAGCAACAACAACCGCCATTCGTCACTAAATCGCGGTGACGTCACCACGACGCTTGTGCCAGGCCATGTGCACCTTGAGGCCACGTGAAGTGTCGAACGCCCGCTGGCAGGAGGTCACGGGGCAGACCCAGCAGGTGCCACGGGTCGACTGACTGAGACGACCGAGATGACTGGCTGATGCACCACCTGTGCCCCCTACTGTACCAACTTGCTGTGCTTTAGCCACCCGGCGCTCCGCTCATTGTTGTGAGCGTCGCTCCTCCACTCTCGCTCGCCGTAACCCACGTGTGTGTGTGTGCGTGTGTGCGTCTGTGTGCGTGTGTGCGCGTGTGTGTGTGGGTGCGTGTGTGTGTGGGTGCGTGTGTGTGTGCATGTGTGTGTGTGCGCGTGTGTGTGCGTGCGTGCGCGTGTGTGTGCGTGTGTGTGTGTGTGTGCGTGTGTGTGCGCGTGTGTGTGTGTGCGCGTGTGTGTGCGTGCGTGGTGTGTGTGCGTGTGGTGTGTGTGCGTGCGTGTGTGTGTGTGCGTGTGTGTGTGTGCGTGCGTGTGTGTGTGGTGTGTGCGTGCGTGCGGTGTGTGTGCGTGTGTGTGTGCGTTTGTTGTGTGTGCGTGTGTGTGTGCGTGTGTGTGTGCGCGCGCCGTGCTGTGTGTGTGTGTGTGTGCGTGTGTGTGTGCGTGTGTGTGTGTGTGCGTGTGTGTGGTGCGTGCGTGTGTGTGCGTGTATGTGTGCGTGAGTGTGTGTACGTGTGTGTGTGCGTGTGTGGTGTGTGTGCGTATGTGTGCGTGTGTGCATGCGTGTGCGTGCTGCAGGTCAAGCTAGACGTGGGTCTGGCCGACCTGGCGAAGATCGGCAAGTCGCAGCGCTACGAGCTGCAGGTGGACGTGGAGGGGGGGCGACTCCTCGTGCTGCGCAAAGAACAAGGAGTCGGCCGAGGAGGTGCTCATCTTCCCACACGACAAAGGTGAGGAGGTGGAGGGGGAGGGGGGGGGAGGAGGAGGAGGAGGGGGGGAGGAGGAGGGGGGGGAGGAGGGGGGGGAGGAGGGAGGGGGTGGGGGGAGGAGGAGGAGGGGGGGAGGAGGAGGCGGGGGGGGGAGCAGGGGGTGGAGGAGGATGAGGGTGGGAGGAGTGCCGGGGGAGGGGGGAGGAGTGGGGAGGGGGTGGAGTAGGAGTGGGGAGGAGGAGGGGGGAGGAGGAGGAGGGGGAGGAGGAGGAGGGGGGCGGAGGAGGAGGGAGGAGGAGGAGGGGGGAGGAGGAGGAGGGGGGAGGAGGAGGAGGAGGGGGGAGGAGGAGGAGGAGGGGGAGGAGGAGGAGGAGGGGGGAGGAGGAGGAGGAGGGGGGAGGAGGAGGAGGGGGGAGGAGGAGGAGAGGGGGGAGGAGGAGGAGGAGGGGGGGAGGAGGAGGAGGGGGGGAGGAGGAGGAGGAGGGGGGAGGAGGAGGAGGAGGGGGGAGGAGGAGGAGGAGGGGGGAGGAGGAGGAGGAGGGGGGAGGAGGAGGAGGAGGGGGAGGAGGAGGAGGGGGGGGGAGGAGGAGGAGGAGGAGGGGGGAGGAGGAGGAGGAGGGGGGAGGAGGAGGAGGAGGGGGGAGGAGGAGGAGGAGGAGGAGGAGGAGGGGGGGAGGAGGAGGGGGGAGGAGGAGGGGGGAGGAGGGAGGGGGTGGGGGGAGGAGGAGGAGGGGGGAGGGGGAGGAGGAGGAGGGGGGAGGAGGAGGAGGAGGAGGGGGGGGAGGAGGAGGGGGGGGGGGAGCAGGGGGAGGAGGAGGATGAGGGTGGGAGGAGGGAGGGATGAGGGGGGAGGAGTGGGGAGGGGGTGGAGTAGGAGGGTGGAGGAGGAGGGGGGAGGAGGAGGAGGAGGGGGGGAGGAGGAGGAGGAGGGGGGAGGAGGAGGAGGAGGAGGGGGGAGGAGGAGGAGGAGGGGGGAGGAGGAGGAGGAGGAGGAGGGGGGGAGGAGGAGGGGGAGGAGGAGGGGGGGAGGAGGGAGGGGGTGGGGGGAGGAGGAGGAGGGGGGGAGGAGGAGGAGGAGGAGGGGGGGGAGGAGGAGGGGGGGGGGGAGCAGGGGGAGGAGGAGGATGAGGGTGGGAGGAGGGAGGGATGAGGGGGGAGGAGTGGGGAGGGGGTGGAGTAGGAGGGTGGAGGAGGAGGAGGGGGGAGGAGAGAGGGGAGGAGGAGGGGGGAGGAGGAGGAGGGGGGAGGAGGAGGAGGGGAGGGAGGAGGAGGGGGGGGGAGGAGGAGGGGGGAGAGGAGGAGAGGGGAGAGGAGGAGGAGGGGAGAGGAGGAGGAGGGGGGAGGAGGAGGAGGGGGAGGAGGAGGAGGGGGGAGGATGAGGGGGGAAGGAGAAGGAGGGGGGAGGAGGAGGCAGGAGGGGGGGGAGGAGGCGGGGAGGGGGGAGGAGGAGGAGGGGGGGGGAGGAGGAGGGGCGTGGAGGGAGGAGGAGGAGGAGGAGGGGGGAGGAGGAGGGGGAGGAGGTGGGGAGGAGGCATGGGGGGAGGAGGAGGGGGAGGAGGAGGAGGGGGGAGTGGAGGAGGAGGAGCGGGGGGGAGGAGGGAGGAGGGGGGGGGAGGAGAGGAGGGGGGGAGGAGGAGGAGGAGGGGGGGGAGGAGGAGTGGGGGGGAGGAGGGGAGGAGGGGGGAGGAGGAGGAGGGGGGAGGAGGAGGAGGGGGGAGGAGGAGGAGGGGGGAGGAGGATGAGGGGGGAGGAGGATGAGGGGGGAGGAGGAGGAGGGGGGAGGAGGGGGGAGGAGGAGGAGGGGGAGGAGGAGGAGGAGGGGGAGGAGGAGGAGGGGGGAGGAGGGGAGGGGGGAGGAGGAGGGGGGAGGAGGAGGAGGGGGAGGAGGAGGAGGGGGGAGGAGGAGGAGGGGGAGGAGGAGGAGGATGAGGGGGGAGGAGGAGGAGGGGGGGGAGGGGGGAGGAGGAGGAGGGGGGGGGAGGAGGAGGGGGGAGGAGGAGGAGGAGGGGGAGGAGGAGGGGGGAGGAGGAGGGGGGAGGAGGATGAGGGGGGGAGGAGGATGAGGGGGGAGGAGGAGGAGGGGGGGAGGAGGAGGAGGGGGGAGGAGGAGGCGGAGGAGGGGGGAGGAGGAGGGGGGAGGAGGAGGGGGGGGGAGGAGAAGGGGGGAGGAGGAGGGGGGGGAGGAGGAGGAGGGGGGAGGAGGAGGGGGGGAGGAGGAGGGGGGGGGAGGAGAAGGGGGGAGGAGGAGGGGGGGGAGGAGGAGGGGGGAGGAGGAGGAGGGGGGAGGAGGAGGGGGGAGGAGGAGGAGGAGGTGTGGGGTGTGTGTGTGTGGGGCGTGTGTGTGTGGGGTGTGTGTGTGTGGGGTGGGGTGTGTGTGTGTGGGGCGTGTGGCGGGGTGTGTGTGTGGGGTGTGTGTGTGTGTGTGGGGTGTGTGTGGGGTGTGTGTGTGTGTGTGGGGTGTGTGTGGGGTGTGTGTGTGTGTGGGGTGTGTGTGGGGTGTGTGTGTGTGTCTGTGTGTGTGGGGTGTGTGTGTGTGTGAGGAGGATGGGGGGTGTGTGTGGGGTGTGTGTGTGGCTGTGTGTGTGGGGTGTGTGTGTGTGTGGGGGGTGTGTGAGGAGGATGGGGGGTGTGTGTGGGGTGTGTGTGTGGCTGTGTGTGTGGGGTGTGTGTCCGTGTGGGGGGTGTGTGAGGAGGATGGGGGGTGTGTGTGGGGTGTGTGTGTGTGTCTGTGTGTGTGGGGTGTGTGTGTGTGTGTGGGGGTGTGTGGCGGGGTGTGTGTGTGTGTGGGGCGTGTGGCGGGGTGTGTGTGCGTGGGGTGTGTGTGGTGCGTGTGGCGGGGTGTGTGTGTGTGTGGGGTGTGTGTGTGGCTGCGTGTGTGTGGGGTGTGTGTGCGTGTGTGTGTGGTGTGTGTGCGTGGGGTCTCACCTGTTTTGCTGTGCACAGTGCGCCAGCTGATCAAGTCCCAGCGGGCGCAGTCCAAGCTGGGCATCGTGTTGGAGCGCGAGCGCACGCAGCGCAGGGACTACGCCTTCGCCAGCCCCCGGGTGAGCGCTCCCCTCGGCACTCTGCTCGGCGCTCCCCTCGGCGCTCCCCTCGGCGCTCCCCTCGGCACTCCCCTCGGCGCTCCCCTCGGCGCTCCCCTCGGCTCGGCGCTCCCCTCGGCGTTCCCCTCGGCACTCCCCTCGGCACTCACCTCGGCGCTCCCCTCGGCACTCCCCTCGGCACTCACCTCGGCGCTCACCTCGGCGCTCACCTCGGCACTCCCCTCGGCACTCACCTCGGCACTCACCTCGGCACTCACCTCGGCACTCCCCTCGGCACTCACCTTGGCGCTCACCTCGGCACTCCCCTCGGCACTCACCTCGGCACTCACCTCGGCACTCCCCTCGGCACTCACCTCGGCGCTCACCTCGGCGCTCCCCTCGGCACCTCACCTCGGCACTCACCTCGGCGCTCCCCTCGGCGCTCACCTCGGCACTCACCTCGGCACTCACCTCGGCACTCACCTCGGCACTCCCCTCGGCACTCACCTCGGCGCTCACCTCGGCGCTCCCCTCGGCACTCACCTCGGCGCTCACCTCGGCGCTCCCCTCGGCGCTCACCTCGGCACTCACCTCGGCACTCACCTCGGCACTCACCTCGGCACTCCCCTCGGCACTCACCTCGGCACTCACCTCGGCACTCCCCTCGGCACTCCCCTCGGCGCTCACCTCGGCGCTCACCTCGGCGCTCCCCTCGGCGCTCACCTCGGCGCTCCCCTCGGCGCTCCCCTCGGCGCTCACCTCGGCGCTCACCTCGGCGCTCACCTCGGCACTCACCTCGGCGCTCCCCTCGGCGCTCCCCTCGGCACTCACCTCGGCGCTCCCCTCGGCACTCACCTCGGCGCTCCCCTCGGCACTCACCTCGGCGCTCCCCTCGGCGCTCCCTCGGCACTCACCTCGGCGCTCCCCTCGGCGCTCCCCTCGGCACTCACCTCGGCGCTCCCCTCGGCCCTCCCCTCGGCACTCACCTCGGCACTCACCTCGGCACTCACCTCGGCACTCCCCTCGGCGCTCCCCTCGGTGCTCGGCACACTCCGGCGGAGGGCGGCGACGTGCGGCGAGGTCAACGGCTGGGGAGGCAGATTCACACACTGAGGGGGGCGAGTATCTGAACCGGTCCTGGGCCTCCCCTAGGTCGACTCATCCTCATGAGTACCGGTGCGGTGTGTCGTAATAATCGCCACTGGGGAGACAAAGGCGGCCGGGCGTGGTGCTAGCCACCCACCTCCCCGTGTGCCGTGTCGGTCTTCATAGGTGCTGCTTGCTAGCAGCACTTGCCCCAACATCCTGTAAAGGCTACACCGGGGGTCTTTGTATCTGTGCGTTCTTCACACATGTAGTAGGTTCATGGAGGCTTGGACGACGTAGTCGGAGGCACACTTCTTTATTGACTTCAGTTGTATACACAGGCCGAGATATACAACACTGAAGGGGTATCGGCCCCTTCACCCGTCTAACAGGGAGACCCCAGTAACTCTAACCGGCTAGCCTACTCCCAGGTTCTCCACTACCAGGCTAGGGGAGGCGAGCTGACCCAGCTCTGGCCAAGCTGGGATCACGGCACCCTGAGTCACCAGACCGGCTCTTACAAGAGCATCGGCTCTGGGCTCTCGGGGCCACGCCACTGGCTTGCCCTGGTCGGTCCTTAGAAGGACAGCGATCCAGGGGAGTCCCAGGGCCTATCTAGCCGGTCTTCCTTCTTCACTGGTTAAAGTTAAACACTGAACCCCGAGCCCACCGGCTCACCGCCTTATATAGCAACTCCCCCCCGAGGGGTGGGGCCGTGGGGGATGACAGCGCCGTCACAGCCCCCCAGGCTAAACGGTGTGGACGTGGATGTGAGCATCCTTCTGCGTGCGGGCACAACCACGCCCGGTGTGTTTGTTCGCCCTCCCGTAACACCTCTACGCACACACAGACACGCACGTAAACACAGCGGCGGCCGGGCGTGCTTCCAGCCACTCCCGGGCCGCTCGTGCGCCGTCCCGGCCTTCGTAGATGCTCTTACTCGCCAACGGCACTTGCCCCGGCAGTGTGTTAAGAGGCTACCTGGGGGACCTCTGTCTGTGTGTGTTTGTGGGGGTGGGGGGGACAGAAGCGCGAGGCGTTCTGCCAGCTGATGCAGCAGATGAAGTCGCGGCACTCCCGCCAGGACGAGCCGGACCTCATCTCCATCTTCATCGGCACCTGGAACATGGGTGACACGCACACACACGCACACACACGCACACACACGTACACACACACACACGCATGCACATGCACACACGTACACACACACACGCACACACGCACGTACACACGCATGTACACACACACGTACACACGTACACACACACACGCACGTACATGTACACACGCACGTACACACACGTACACGCACGCACGCACACACGCATGCACACACACACGTACACTAACACACGCGCACACACACACGCATGCACACACACACGTACACACACGCATGCACACACACACGTACACTAACACACGCGCACACACACACGCACGTACACACACACACGCATGCACACACACACGTACGCACACGCACACACGTACACACACAGACATGTACACACACGCACACACGTACACACACGTACACACGCACGTACACACGTACACACACAGACATGTACACACACGCACACACACGTACACACACGCACGTACACACGCGCACACACGCACAGACACATACACACACGTACACACGCACGCACACACACGCGCACGTACACACACACGCGCACGTACACACACACGTACACACACACGTACACACACACACGCGCACACACACACGCGCACACACGCACACATACGTACGCACATACATGTACACGCACGCACGTACACACGCACACACACGCACACACGCGCACACACGCACGCACACACGCACACACGCACATACATGTACACACGTACACACACACACACGTACACACGCACGTATACGCACGCACACACACGTACACACACGCACACACACGCACGTACACGCACGTACACACACGCACACACACACGTACGCGCGTACACGCACGCACGCACACACACACACAGACACACGTACACACACACACACACGTACACACATGCGCACACATACACGTACATACACGCACACACACACGTACACACGCGCACACACATACGTGCATGCACACACACATACACACATGCATACACACGAACACGCACACACACGCACACACACACAAACACGCACACACACGCACACACATGTACACACACGCACGAACACACACGCACGAACACACACATACACACGCACATACACTCACACACAAAATAAAAAGGTCCCCCGTGTAGCCTTAACAGACTGTTGGGCCAAGTGCTGTTAGCAGCAGCGCCTATGAAGGTCGGCACGGCACACGAGGGGGTGGGTGGCCAGCACCACGCCCTGACCGCCTTTGTCTCCCCAGTCGCGTTGTTTACACATCTTACACAGACACACACATTATACACACGGAATCACTCCCATGCACACAAACAGGACACGCACACACGCAGGTACGAACACGCACGCACGCACACTCGGTTGGCCCCCGTTGCGAGCGCGTCACTGACCCCCAGGGCACGTGGTCACGGCACCGTGGGTGTTCCTCGTCACAGCCTCGTCATCACGAGTAATGATTTTAGTCTGTTCTTCCCCCGCACATCCGATTAGCGTAGTTGGCTACGTGCGGTGCGAACGCACCCAACACCACACCACCACTACCACCAACACCACACCACCACTATACCACCAACACCACACCACCAGTATACCACCACACCACCACTACCACCAACACCACACCAGCACTACCACCATACATACACCACCACTACCACCACCACCACACCACCACTACCACCATACATACAACACCATTACCATCAACACCACACCACCACTACTACCACGATCCCCGCACCTCTGATTATCATAGTTGGCTACGTGCAGTGCAAAAGAAGTTCAACATAGAACGTATCCTGCCACCATCACGGCCGTCGCCACCACCACAATCGCCACCGCCACTACTGCCACTACTTCCACCACCACTACCGCTGCCACCACCGCCGCCGCCACCGCCACCACCCCCACCGCCACCACCACCACCACAATTGCCACCGCCACTACTGCCACTACTTCCACCACCGGTACCACTGCCACCACCACCGCACCTCTGATAATTATCACGGTTAGCTACATACGGTGTGAAAGCAGTTCAACACATGGTACATACCCTGCCGCCACCGCCACCGACGCCACCGCCACCACTACCACCAACACCACACCACCACTACCACCAACACCACACCACCACTACCACCAACACCACACCACCTGTATACCACCACCAACACCACACCACCACTACCACCAACACCACACCACCACTACCACCAACACCACCCCACCACTACCACCAACACCACACCACCTGTATACCACCACCAACACCACACCACCACTACCACCAACACCACACCACCACTACCACCAACACCACACCACCAGTATACCTCCAACACCACAGCACCACTACCACCATACATACACCACCACTACCACCAACACCACACCACCAGTATACCACCACTACCACCAACACCACACCACCACTACCACCAACACCACACCACCAGTATACCACCACCAACATCACACCACCACTACCACCAACACCACACCACCACTACCACCAACACCACACCACCAGTATACCATCAACACCACACCACCAGTATACCACCAACATCACCCCACCACTACATCCACTATGACCACCATCATCTGACCATCACCACTACATCCACAACTACCACCACCAACACCACCAACACCACTATGCCACCATCGCCCCCACCAATATACCGCCAACACCACACCACCACTACTACCAACACCACACCACCACTACCACCATCACCACACCACCACTACCACCATACATACACCACCAATATACCACCAACACCACACCACCACTACTACCACGATCCCCGCACCTTTGATTATCACGGTTGGCTACGTGCAGTGCAAAATAAGTTCACCATCACGGCCGTTGCCACCACCACTACTGCCACTATCGCTGCCACCACCACCACAATTGCCACCACCACTACTGCCACTACCGCTGCCACCACCACCACCGCACCTCTGATAATTATCACGGTTGGCTACGTACGGTGCGAAAGAAGTTCAACACATGGTACATACCCCGCCGCCACCACTGCCACCACCACCCCCACCGCCACCACCCCCACCGCCACCACCACCACCGCCACCACCGCCACCACACCGCCACCACCACCGCCGCCACCACCCCCACCGCCACCGCCACTGCCACCACCACCACCGCTACCACCCCCACCGCCACCACACCGCCACCACCACCGCCGCCACCACCCCCACCGCCACCACCACCGCCACCACCACCACCGCTACCACCACCGCCACCACCCCCGCCACCACCGCCACCACCGCCACCACCGCCACCCCCGCGACCATCGCCACCCCCGCCACCACCGCCACCGCCACCACCGCCACCGTCACCACCACCGCCACCACCCCCACCGCCACCGTCACCGCCACCACCATCACCACCACAGCCACCACCCCCACCGTCACCGCCACCACCGTCACCACCGCCACCACCACCACCACCATCCCGCCGCCACCACCCGTGATGATGACCTCCCTGCCCCCCCCCTCGCCCCCCGCAATGTCTCCACCAGGCAGCAGCCCCCCGCCGGCGAGGCAGCTGGGGTCGTGGCTGACGTCACGCGGCCTGGGGCGCACGCGCGACGAGACCACGGTGGGCATCCCGCACGACGTCTACGTGCTGGGCCTGCAGGAGAACGCCGGCGGGGAGCGCGAGTGGGAGGCCCTGCTGAGACACGCGCTGCGGGAGATCACGGACATCGACTACCGCATGGTGAGTGGGAGACAGGGAGAGTGGGAGACAGGGAGAGTGGGAGACAGGGAGAGTGGGAGAGTGTGAGTGAGTGGGAGAGTGTGAGTGAGTGGGAGACAGGGAGAGTGGGAGACAGGGAGAATGGGAGAGTGTGAGTGAGTGGGAGAGTGTGAGTGAGTGGGAGACAGGGAGAGTGGGAGACAGGGAGAGTGGGAGAGTGTGAGTGAGTGGGAGAGTGTGAGTGAGTGGGAGACAGGGAGAGTGGGAGACAGGGAGAGTGGGAGACAGGGAGAGTGGGAGACAGGGAGAGTGGGAGAGTGTGAGTGAGTGGGAGACGGGGAGAGTGGGAGACAGGGAGAGTGGGAGGCCCTGCTGAGACACGCGCTGCGGGAGATCACGGACATCGACTACCGCATGGTGAGTGGGAGACGGGGAGAGTGGGAGACAGGGAGAGTGGGAGACAGGGAGAGTGGGAGAGTGTGAGTGAGTGGGAGACAGGGAGAGTGGGAGACAGGGAGAGTGGGAGAGTGTGAGTGGGAGACGGGGAGAGTGGGAGACAGGGAGAGTGGGAGAGTGTGAGTGAGTGGGAGACGGGGAGAGTGGGAGAGTGTGAGTGAGTGGGAGACAGGGAGAGTGGGAGACAGGGAGAGTGGGAGAGTGTGAGTGGGAGACGGGGAGAGTGGGAGACAGGGAGAGTGGGAGAGTGTGAGTGGGAGACGGGGAGAGTGGGAGACAGGGAGAGTGGGAGAGTGTGAGTGGGAGACAGGGAGAGTGGGAGACAGGGAGAGTGGGAGAGTGTGAGTGGGAGACGGGGAGAGTGGGAGACAGGGAGAGTGGGAGAGTGTGAGTGAGTGGGAGACGGGGAGAGTGGGAGAGTGTGAGTGAGTGGGAGACAGGGAGAGTGGGAGACAGGGAGAGTGGGAGACAGAGAGAGTGGGAGACAGGGAGAGTGGGAGGCCCTGCTGAGACACGCGCTGCGGGAGATCACGGACATCGACTACCGCATGGTGAGTGGGAGACAGGGAGAGTGGGAGACAGGGAGAGTGGGAGACAGGGAGAGTGGGAGACAGGGAGAGTGTGAGTGAGTGGGAGACAGGGAGAGTGGGAGACAGGGAGAGTGGGAGACAGGGAGAGTGGGAGACAGGGAGAGTGGGAGAGTGTGAGTGAGTGGGAGACAGGGAGAGTGGGAGACGGGGAGAGTGGGAGACAGGGAGAGTGGGAGACAGTGTGAGGAGTGGGAGAAGTGGTGAGTGGAGTGGGAGAGGGGAGACAGGGAGAGTGGGAGACAGGGAGAGTGGGAGAGTGTGAGTGAGTGGGAGACGGGGAGAGTGGGAGACAGGGAGAGTGGGAGAGTGTGAGTGAGTGGGAGACAGGGAGAGTGGGAGACAGGGAGAGTGGGAGAGAGTGTGAGTGGTGGGAGACAGGGAGGAGGGGATGTGAGTGGTGGGAGACAGGGAGAGTGGGAGACAGGGAGAGTGGGAGAGTGTGAGGTGAGTGGGAGACAGGGAGAGGGGAGACAGGGAGAGTGGGAGAGTGTGAGTGAGTGGGAGACGGGGAGAGTGGGAGACAGGAGAGTGGGAGAGTGTGAGTGAGTGGGCGACAGGGAGAGTGGAGACAGGGAGAGTGGGAGAGTGTGAGTGAGTGGGAGACAGGGAGAGTGGGAGACAGGGAGAGTGGGAGAGTGTGAGTGAGTGGGAGACAGGGAGAGTGGGAGACAGGGAGAGTGGGAGAGTGTGAGTGAGTGGGAGACAGGGAGAGTGGGAGACAGGGAGAGTGGGAGAGTGTGAGTGAGTGGGAGATGGGGAGAGTGGGAGA